ATCTTGATGATCAAACTCTTCAACATCTACTAAGGGTACTTCAGAAGTAGCCCATGAGCCAGCTGAAGTTGGGTCAGAACTTTCCCTGAACAGATGCAAGTAATTATTTGAAGCCTTGTTAGTATGACTGAGATTAATTTGGTTAGTTCCTGCCACACTTGGTTCAGTTGAGGACAAAGATTCAAGAACTGCGTGCTGCGAGCTTCCACCAGAACCATTTTCTTCATCTTCATTTACCAAAACTGTATGTAAAGCATTCAAACCATACCCAACACCATGCACTTCCCCATCATGCAACAAAAGATGGTCAGATTCAAGCTCTACAGACTCTATAGAAGCAGGGCTCTCTATAGAGGGTGGATTATCAGTAGTGCTGAAAGGTGACGAAACTACTTCATGCTTTGTTCTAGTGTCTCTACGTTTCCGAAATTTAGAATTCAAACCAGGCTGCATGTCTGCTATGGCATCAAACATTTTACCTCCTGATGGTGGAGCTGGCCTTGGACGGTTAGTAGATGATCGATTTACTGACACTTCCGGTGAGGTAACTTTGGGGAAAGGTTCCACATTTTCATTCACATGAACGGTGCATGATTTAGAACTTTGATAGGACCAATAGACGAGGTTGGCTGCTGTACAAAAGACAACACAAGTAAGAAATTGGTCTTATTAACAATGCGCGGTAGAGAAATGATGGATTGAAGTTGTAAATAGGATAGAAAAAGATGAACTATTTCAGTCTGAGGGAAAAAAATACTGACCTGACATGTATGCAATGGTGGCAATGAGAACGATTGTTATGGAAATAAAACAAATAGATGTGCATTTCCATGAACATCTAGCAGCCAGTCCTTTTCTAAAATGCAACCGTGGTTGTGAAAAATGTCCTGAGTTTGGTCTCCTTAAATTATTGCGTACTGGCAAAACTGGAACAGCAGCTCCAAAGGGCAGGGTACCCCTAAAGAGAAAAGACACAGAAAAATTATTAGTTCAAAGTGTGCACAGCAATGTTTTGATGACATTTTAAGGAAAATCAAGATAACATATTAAACACATATATTTTGCTCTACACAAACCTTTCAGATTTTTTCAAATTTTCTCCTTTGGAAGGGCTACTACAAGAAGAATTTGATTTGTAGTCCAGCTGAGAATTTTTAGAAACATCTGAAAAAATCAAATCGGTATTAGTTACAGGTAATGGACGTTATTCACACGTAAAGAAAGATTGTTTTAAATATATATACATATATATACCTGTAGGTATATACACGTTCCCCGATGGGGTGCGCACGAGACACGATGGTTCGAATTCGCCGTCCGGGTCCTGGCCACCCAGACCCACGCCTAGGTTGGTCATGTTGCCCATGTTAGGCAGCGTACCGTGACCTCCCTGTCCGCCAAAGGTGTTGTGACTCCCGTGGACCCCATGGCCCCCGTGGCCCCCCAAGGAGCTCATGGGCGGCAGGGTGCTCCCCAGGCCGCAGTGCCCACCGCTACGGCCGTTCATGCGACTCATGGCCACGTTACGCGGGGGCACGTCGGGAGGGGCTCCATCCAGGAGACAACCTGAAACATAGATCCGGGCACGTCAGCACACAGGGAAAGAGAAATAAAAGAAACGAAGAAAGCACGAACATGCGGTCATGTTTCCAAGCAGTCCTTTTGGCAGCTTTCCCCCAGAAAGTGTTGTGTACTACTGGTGTTCCTGAGTCGCTGATGATGATGATGTTGGACCGAAGGTTTGGTCTGAAGGTGGGGACAAGGGAGCAGGGCGGGGCCAGTGACTTTGACGAGTTCTGAGTAGCAACTGATTTATTGGCAGTCTGGGCGTAGACAGGTAAACAATACATACAGTGTTGCCAATACACGACACCTCCCCTTTTTTTTAAAGAGTCGGTAATTTAATAACACTAGATAACAATTTTAACAATAAGAATAAATAACAATAAATATATATTTGTTAACAATAACAATAAATAACAAAATAGATAAATAGATATATATCACAAATTTAGGCGATCAGGTTTTTTAATGACACGAGTCCTGGTCCGATTAACAGGTACATTTTCCATTCTATTTCTTATTTGTTCCCTCCACCGCTCTAAATTATCATCAATATCATTGAGATTAAGTACATTTTGATTCAAATTTGGGTCTGCATTATTTTGAGGGATTTCATTATCATTAACAATAGGAATTTGATTAACTGGAACATTATTTGAAGCAGCTGGTAACATATAAACAGGTGTACAGTAAGGTTTTAGTTGACTAGAAGGATTAGGTTTTAAGAATTTTACATTTCTCCTCACCACCCGAGAGGTCCCACTATTTTTCACAAAATATGATCTGGGCTCATCACACTTTTCTACTATAATTCCAGGTTCCCACTCCTTTGTGAAGGGGTTTTGCATGAAGACATAATCAGATGGACTGAAAGTACATTCTTTACTATTAGCTGTTTTATCATAATGCTGTTTAGTTAAATTAGATTTTTGAGTTAGCAAAGTTTTGACATTAGGAATTACAGCAGGTTTTAATTTACTAACATGAATTGGCAGTGACGATCTTAATTGCCTACTCATAAGTAGTTGAGCTGGTGAGGCCCCCAACCCAGCAATAGGAGTTATTCTATATTGTAACAAACAATTTTGCAATGTTGCTTTGGGGTCTCTAAAACATTTTTTCAAAAATGATTTTACAATACCAACGGCTCTTTCAGCCAGCCCATTTGATTGGTGAAAATGAGGGCTACATGTCACAATAGTAAAGTTCTGTTGCTCAGCAAATTCAGTACAAACATAGGATTTAAATGGGTTATTATCAGCAAATAATACTTTTGGAACACCATGAACAGAAAACAAGAAACTTAGTATATCTACAACAGTATGAGCAGTTTTATCTTTCATCAGAATAGCATCAATCCATTTACTGTAATAATCTATGACAACAAGATAGAAAAGGCCTTTATATTCAAGGATATCCACTGCGATTTGCCACCAGGGTAAATCAGGGATATCATGTTGAATCATGTTTAACTTTTTCTGGGATGGTGCAACTTCAGCACAAACAGAACATTTAGCAACAAATGCTTCTAAGTCTAAATTAATACCTGGCCAGAAAACAGTTTGTTGAGCTAAGGCTTTAGATTTAACAATTTTTTGATGTCCAGAATGCAACTGAATCAAGGTAGAATGTTGTAGACTATTTGGAATGACTAACCTATTTTTGAAATAGACTAAGTTATCTTCAACTGTTAATTCATTTCTGATTGCAAAGTATTTCTTTAAGTTGTTATTTAAAGATCTAGAATTATTTGGCCATCCATTATTATAAAAATCAATAACTTGTTGGAGAGTTTCATCACTCAACGTTTCTTTAGCATATTGTTTTTCTACATTTGTTACAATTACAGATGACACACTATGCACTTGGGTCATGAGTACCTCATCATTCGGCTGGCAGGGCAAAAAATCCCTTGATAGGGCATCGGCTATATGCATTAATTTACCGGGTACATGCTGTACCTTCAAGTCATAAGCAAGTGTTTTCAAAAGTAGCCGTGCCAGCCTCTTTGATGAGACCTCAGAGAGAGGTTGCTTAAATATAGGAATGAGTGGTTTATGATCAGAGTACACAACAATTGATTTTTGACCATACAGATAATAGTGAAATTTTTGCACAGAATAGACTATGGCTAACAGCTCTTTTTCTATTTGGGCATAGTTACGTTCTGACTGAGTTAGACTCCTAGAGGCAAATGATACAGGTCTACCATTTTGCATAAGGCATGTCCCAATTCCATTTTGCGAAGAATCGCACTGGATTTCTATGGATTTCTTGGGATCAAACACTACCAGAGATATATTTAGACAAATTTTATCTTTAATACTATCTAAGGCATCTGAGTGGAATGGAAGCCATTCAAAATGAACATTCTTTTTCATTAGTTGAGTTAGACAGGCTGTGTCATCAGCCAAGTTGGGCACAAATTCCCTTAAATGATTTACAATTCCTAAGAGTCTTTGCAATTCTTTAATATTAGTTGGATTTTTAAGCTTTTTGATTGCTTCTATCCTATCTGGGTCTACTGATTTGCCCCATTGAGAAAATATGTGACCTAGGAATTTAACTGATGTTTTCTTATACTGAATTTTATCAGGATTGAAGTGAACATTATTTTCTCTGGCCCTTTGAATTACTGCTTGAAATATTAGATCATGCTTCTCTTCAGAATCAGCAACAATTAGCAAGTCATCAAAATACATTACAATACCATCAATACTACCAAACACATCATTTACAGCTTGTTGAAATATTTCAGGAGACACACTTAGACCAAACGGTAATCTGAGAAATTGGTAGATTCCGAATGGGGTGGAAAATTTGCAAAGTTCACTAGAGCTATCAGTTAACTTACAGTGCCAGAATCCTGTAGTGAGGTCAAGCACAGTGAAATATTTTTTATTAGTTAGCAATGCACTAATATCCTCAATGGATGGAATTTGATAGAAAGGTCGACAAAGAGCCTCATTTAAGTGCTTTGGATCCAAACAAATACGAAGTGAACTATCTGGCTTCTCTACAATGACAATAGGACTAATGTATCCTCTAGGATTTGAACACTTCTTAATTATTTCTTGAGAACAAAGTTTTTGCAAATAAGATTGATACCTATCCTTAATGGTGAGAGGAACCCTTCTAGATGGGATTGCTACAGGCTTTTTAGAGGGATCTACTTCTATAGAATACAAGTTTGGGAAACAGCCTGGATCTTTAGAGAACACATCTGGATTATCAAGGATTATTTGCTTAAAAGCACTATCATTTTCAAGAGATTCCTCTGTAGAAGTTACTTTAGGTGATTGATTGAACTTAGCATAAGGTTGTTTACTCTGATTAGGATAAGTTAACATTGCTGTTTCACAGGCATTAATTGACACTTGAAAAACATTGGAAGTTGGCTTACTTGACTTATTGATTACACGATTTATGAGATTGTATTGTTCACAAGCCTCTAAGCTCAAGAGAGGCACAGACTCTACTTCAGCAACAATGAAATCTAATGCAATTGAAATACCGTTTAGGGTACAGTTATCAAAAGTTATAGAACCAAGTGGTCTCAGTCGTGCACCACTATACACTTCTAAGATGATGGGGGTTGGTTTGAGTTTGTAGTTTTTCCCAATTAATTTATCTAACAAACATTTTGGCATCACATTAACCTCTGCACCAGTGTCCAATTTAATTTGAACACGACCAAATTCAAACTCAATATACTCCGCCCACATCTTCGGAGATAACTTGTCAGAATCAATGGGAAATGTTCTATTCTGACTGACATTTATAGGCAAAATGTCCCAAGCGTCCACAAGTGTGGCACTTTTTGTCCCTAGCAGGGCACCAATCATCGCCATGGCTGTAGCCACAGTTCTGACATTCACTATCGTCACCAGTACTCACTCTGCTTGGTCCAGGTGTTGGTGAGCGGGTTCGATAGCGTCTTGCATTCCTGTCCCCAGACTTGGAACGGGATGATGATCTTGAACGGGGATGGCGTTGGTTGCTCCTGCTAGGCTTGCCTTTGCTTCGTGAAGATGACCTAGACCTTGGTCTTCTCTCCACCGATCTTGGAGCAGAACTCGATCTTGATCTCCCACGAGTCCTCCTTGCTGCCTCATCTGTTTTGACAAAATGCACTTCATTAGCTTTTTTACTCTGGATCGATAGTGCATTTAGTTGGGAGCGGCAGCTTTGTATCTCCCTAATCTGATCTTGTCCTGCTTCATGGATCTTCAAATCTTCTATAACTTTCTCAAGTTTCAGATCTTTAGTTTGAAAGAAATGTCTTTGAAGAGTAGAGTCGGTTAAAGGATGAACTAGGGCATCCATGATCATGAAATCACTTGAGAATCCAGCAGGCAACCCACAGTTAGCGAGTTTTGATCGACATCTTGAAACAAAGTGGTTGATATCTTCACCCTCTTTCCTGACTAGTTTTCTGAACTGATAGCGTTCGAAGCAAGCATTTGTCACTGGTTTCACTTGTTCATCTATGTGAGCAGTCAGGAGTACTATGTCTTTCTTGGTAGCAGCAAGTGCTGACTCAAAGAGATAAGCACAGTCTAGTCCAATGAAATGCATAAGGGCCTTAGCTTTGTTTTCAGGAGTCCACGCGGAACGAGCGGCGTCGAATAGAATGTAGCCATCGAACTGCCACTTTAGATATTTCCACTGGGCCTCTAGATCATCACCCGGTACTAGCGGTTTGATTTGATCCATAACCTTACCGCCACGTGGTACGTGTCACTAGGTTAGATTGCGGTACACTTATTCAACTCAAGTCAAGTCTATTCACTACACACGTATAGGAAATTCCGGCCCGATCTCCCGACTCGAAGAAAGGTACTGCCCCTTGGGTCTCCGGCTAACTTCTCGCTGTTACCGCCCAACACTGACAGACTCAGTCTTCATAGGCTTTTCGCTGCCCTGAGAGAAGAGATCTAACTTACGCCTCTTGTCCGCCACCACTACGACTGCGCCATGTTGTGTACTACTGGTGTTCCTGAGTCGCTGATGATGGTGATGTTGGACCGAAGGTTTGGTCTGAAGGTGGGGACAAGGGAGCAGGGCGGGGCCAGTGACTTTGACGAGTTCTGAGTAGCAACTGATTTATTGGCA